TGAATAGTAAACGCGAAAAAAGTTGTTTGTCTCTGTAGAACAACCCTTGTCCGACAACTTCTTCAAGATTGATGGTTGGGCAGGATTCTTCGACAGCAATGTTCTTCGTTGAAGAAGTTCAAGTTATTCTTTAGTGAGGGAGAACAATCAAAGAAAGTAAAAAATTACAATATCCCGCCGGTAGGCATTGAATTGTGTATGCCCATCGGCAGGGGAAGAACCGTGTTTGAGGTCTCAAGAATTCAAAAACCAGGCTCCGAAAGAAACTTTGAGAAGAGAGAATATATAGGAGATGCCATGTTGAAATATTAGAATAATAATATTGCTCCTTCAATAATGAAGTACATGATAGAGAATATATAGGAGATACTCTTAAGACAATTAGGAATAGAGAATGGAGACTAACTAAAATACAACAACTACCACAAATAAGAATACTTGATATTATTGTCTATGATCCCCTCTCAAGCTGAACTCTGGCTGAAGCGAGAGGAAATTTGGACACTGGCTGGAAACTAGAAACTTTGAGAAGAGAGAAGTTTCACGTGCGCTGGTAGCTGCTGACGTCGTTGGAGACAGGAGAAGTCTGACGTGCGCTTGTGATTGCGGACGTTGTTGGAGAAGAAAGAAGTCTGACGTGCGCCGGTGGCTACTAACGTCGTTTGAGAAGAGAGAAGTCTGACACGCACTTGCAGTTGCTGACGTTGAAGAAGAACAGAAAAGGCTATTGGAGGTGCCTGTTTGATTGAAGATCCTTGACATTCTTTGTCTTTTTCTTGGATCCGAGGAATGCCCTATTTCCTTCTTGAAGGATGAGTTGTAGAGGTATTCTTTCCACTTTCACTACTTCCCCTCTTGGCTTTGCTTTTGTGTTGATTTACTTAGGGTTTTTATTGGTTCAACAAAAGAAAAAGAGGGGAGGTTGATGATTAGAATGAGTGGTTTGAGAGAAAAAAAGTGGATTAAAAATTGGTGATGGAGAAAAAGATTTAGGTCATTCTATGTGGTGAATTGGAGAGAAACAACTTTTATTTTTTTCTTGATTTTGAGAAGATAGGAAGATGAGTTCAGAGAGTTTTTTAGAAGTTGCCGGTGTGAAAACTGAAGGATGAACATCTGCCTAAGCGTAAATGAGATTCAGGCTTAGACGACGGTGGAGCGTTGTGGATTTTGAGGGCATGTTTAATGCCCTTCAGCGGTTTTTTTTGGAAGAACCATGGAGACACCAAGAGGGAAGTTCCTCCTTTGATGCCTTTTTTTGTGATTTCAACATGCACTTACTTTTTTTTCCATTTTTTTGAATGGAGAAGTTAATTTGAGGATAAAAGAAAGAAAAGAATGTAGAGGTGAATGAGGTGGAGCTGCCGTAAATTACCGGCGGTGGCAGTGGAAGCAAAGAACTCTTTTAGGTCACCAAGAGTGGTGGCTCTGATACCATGTAGAAAATAATAGAGAAAATATTTTTGAATATTGAATAGACTCTCGAATACAAAGATCTTACCCTCTTTATATAGGAAGAGGGTAAAACAAATAATAAAATTTCTATTCCTACTAAAATAAGAATTAAACAAACTAGGAAAGATACTAAACCAAATCCCAAAGAGATTCGGTTTCCTTTTCAATCCCGCTTCCTTCTTCTGTTTCTAACATAGGCGTAGTAAATTAAGATAATGGGTTTTATTTCAATAATTAAATGAGTTTAAAAGAAGGTTCAATAAAAGGGTATGATTTGATTTTTTTTGAAAAGAACATCAGAATACCATTAATTCAAATCAGAGTACAAAGTCTCATAAAGAAATGCTGGAGGGGCATGAATCCACTCCAAACAATCAGACTCAAAATCAGACGCTCTAGCCAACATATGAGCCACCTGATTCGCTGATCTTTTAACAACTGAAAGCGTGAGAGAAACAAAGTCTCGCATCACTATCTTACAATCAGAGATAATATCTAAGAAATAAGAATGTGAATGAGTTTCAATATCTTCTTGAATTGCTTTAAATACTACATCGCTGTCGATCTCGACACTTAGATTCATTTGTCCAACGTCGCATCCTATGCCACCTCAATGCTTCCCGGAGTCCTGTTGCTTCAGCCATTTGTGCATCTTCCAGACGCCCTAGTCCGAAGTGAGCTCCTCACAAAAAATTCCCTTGATCATCCCGCACCACCACTCCAACTCGGGCCACACTTGTACGTATGTTAAAACTTGCATCCACATTGTACTTTAAGACCCCTCTCACCGGTGCTCTCCATTTATGCATCCGGTCCCCCGACCCCAATCGGGCTTCTAAGGACCCGGGGCGTGCTGCTTGCCACTCTTGTAGTCCTCGGATAGCTCTTTCCACCACAAAGGTCATGCTCAAGCTTTTGTTCTTCCAAACAAGTTGATTTCGTTGTTGCCACGACTCCCACAAAACCATACAAAGTTGTTGAATCCTTTCCTTTGTGAGTGTTCGGTGAACCTCCTCAAACCACTCAACCATACTCCCATACTGTCGTATGCTTACATAGCCCACTCTGCCCAGGCATGCTTTGGAAAAAGTGCAGCCTATTAAGCTGTGGATAGTGGTCTCCTGATCGGTGCAACATCTAGGACACACATCTGCCACCTCCACCTGACGCCTCCGAAAGTTGGCTCTTATAGGTAGGACATCGTTGAGAGCTCGCCACATAAAGTTGCGAACTTTTGGCAGTACCTGCATTTTCCAAATAAACGACCGCATGTCGTTGTTAGTAGTTGTCCCTGACCACCGCTCTTCGTACATCATTCGGTAGCAATGTTTCACTGAATACAATCCTTTGAGGTCGTCTCTCCAGATCCATGCATCTTCTCGACTGTACAGGCCCAATGGAATACATGATATCTCTTGGACTTCCTCCACGCTAAACAGTGTCTCGAGTAAGTCCATATCCCATCTCCGAGTACCTGGATTGATAAAAGCCAACACCAAGACCTCGTTCAACTCCTCTGCAACGCACGAACAAACATATGGGTCTTCCTTTCTCAAAAGCCAAGGTGTAGCCAGCAGCTTTGTTGTTTCCCCATTCCCGATCCGTCGTATATATACAGCCCTTCTCCAAGATGCGTCGCCCTTCCAAAATGGATCGCCAAACAAAGCTGGCATTATTTCCACACCCTACATTAAAAAAATCACCGTTAGGGAAATAACGGGCCTTACAGACCTGGTGCACAAGAGAGTTGGGTCTCGTCAGGAGATTCCAACCCGTTTTAGCTAGGAGGGCCATATTAAACTATTGCATTTGTTTGAATCCTAATCCCCCATTCATTTTATTTTTGCTCAGTCACTCCCAAGACATCCAGTTTATCCCGCGGTTCTCTCCCGTTCCGGACTTCCACCATTATTAATTGTCGTCTCAATATTATCTCAGATAAACACTGGTATCCTGAACATTGCCATCACATACGTCGGAATTGCTTGAAGAACTGTCTTAAATGAATTTAAAACTTGTATTTATTAGTTGGGAACAGTAATAGTACCGTTAAATAGAAAGCAATCTCGTCCTATACAATCGTCAAAACAATAGACTAGTTTACCCATTGAATTTGGTACCAAAAGATAAGAGGTTGTGTAACCCTCTTTTTGACAAAATGACACATCAACTCATTTTGGTACCAAATTGGTTTTAATATATTCATTGGATTTCATACCATGTCGCCTTAAAGAACTCGAAAATTTCCTTATATTTCTTTCTTCTATCATTAGGATTTGTGTATATAAATACGTACACCTTGTAATCCCTTTTGAATAATATTGAAATACATAATTCTTTATTCAGCTTACCAAACCCACTCCACAATTTTAAGTTAAAAACAAAAGGCCTTAGGCATGGGAAGGAAACGACGAAAGCAAAAAGAGATGAGGTATCTTTGTGGTCTTTTTATTTTTGTCTTTGATGAATATCTTTATGGACTTTGGGGGTGGGGTAAATACGGAGTAATTAGTAAGGAAAAGGCTAGTGGCAGAAGTCATCATGAAAAGTTGAGCTCATATATTCCCCCTAACAACTTTATTGGGAGTATTAAACTAAACTATTTTCACTTTAATTTACTTTGATACCAGATTCGAGTTTAGCTAAATGAGCCTAAAAAATAATCTTCCATATCAATATAAATCACATGTTAGGTTTCGAGATATTTTATTGAAGATATTTAATTTCAATATTTTTTTAAGTGGAAATTAGAAAGATATAAAAAAATTTACATATTAAAAGACTATATTAAAAACTATACAAAATAAAAAGTGACGTGACTATATTGTTTTACGGAGTATTAAATAACTAACAAAAATGAGTAAAATGTGAATGATGTTTAATTTTGTGAATAATAAATATGTAATTTTATTTAGAACGAATGGAGTGGCAATAATAGCATTAATATCATAACAAAACTTCAGAAATTGTTATTCTCTAACTATGAATTGGCAGTGTGAAGTGCACGTAATAAGGACATTGTATGTTTCCATTTCATACTATTTTTAACATTTTCTCTTAGCATTATTTGACATTATAAATCATATTTTGATATAAAAATATTGAAAGTTCTATTTTGTAGAAGTAGCATGTTTTAAACATAGTTATGAATTTCTTCTTCTGTTAAATAGAACATCATATGTTTAAAAAGTAAATAAAAAAATTATTCCCTCCGTCTCCCTGTATTTGTCCACTTTCATTTTTACACACCATCCAATGCACTTCTTTAATCCATTTTATCTTGTAATTTGTATATTAAAAAATTATAAAAATTATATTTTAATAATCTATATGTTAAGACAAATCAAACAAGATCACACATGACTATATTTAAGCTTACACATTGAGAGAATTTGATGAGTCAAAGTGCTTAGATGAACAGTTCCAAAAGTCAAATGTGGACAAATACATTGGGACGGAGGGAGTATAAAATACTGAGTAAATTCTTTAAATGGTCCTTTATAACTGGGGGGTTTCCGTATATAGTCCTCAATTATCAATTATTAAGTAAGTAGTCTTTTTTAATTGGGTGCCATTCCATCTATGATCCTCCGTCTCATCTCCGTCAAACTGTAGTTAAATCAGCCCACCATGGTTTTGTGGTTTCTTGAACTGATATTTCTGTCTCAAAGATACTATTAGATGCAGCTTCCTCTTGACCTGATTTTCGAGCAGCCCTTAACATAAGTTTTCTCTGTGATTTCTTCTGTTTTGCTGCAGCCTAAACGAAAAAATTTAACAGGCAATGTGGTCATGTTTATAAAACAGAAACCCTACAATGTCCAGCGAGTTCAGGATCCCGACAAACCTCTGCTGCCGCATCTCCGCCCTCTCCGCCGCCGCCGCGGCGCTCTTCTTCCTCCAAACCGGGATTCCGGACTCAGTCGACTCCCCGATCGCCTTGATCGACGATTCCACCGTCTCAGTCTCGGCGAACTCCGCCAGCTCCGGCTTCCCCACCGTCAGATCCCCAATCACGTGGTACAGAAACACCGACGCCATTTTTAAACCAGATCTGCTATAACAGGAGTGGAGGAAGATGAGGAGGAGATGGAATCGGGACAGGGGAAAGGAGATTATGGCGATGAAGATGCTAATTAGAGGTGCGGCCATGGATTGAGAGGATTAATAAGGAGGAGGCGTGAAGATGAAGATGGATTTGGGCCATGAGAAAGAAATGATTTCCAGTTTTTAATATGTGAACAGAAGTTTTCTCTGTGATTTCTTCTGTTTTGCTGCAGAGAGGGTTTCCGTTTAACCACAGTTTGACGGAAATGAGACGGAAGATCATAGATGGAATGGCACCCAATTAAAAAAGACTACTTACTTAATAATTGATAATTGAAGGCTATACACGAAAACCCCCAGTTATAAAGGACCATTTAAATAATTTACTCTAAAATACTTTCAGAAAAATATAAAATACTCCGTATGAAATAGCATTATGATAATATTTGGAAAAAATGACGTACAAGATGATTCAAACCATTTTGGTAAGATGCAAGTCTATAGACGGGCGATGATGGTAATTAGTTAATTAGTTAGATAGATTGGGAGGGATCTTCAATTTTAATTGACGTAAGGTGAAAGTGTGCATATATAGCCGTGAGAATGCACCATGTAGTCGGAGAGAAATAAAAATAAAATCTAGCCGTTGGATCTGATGCATCGTGCAGCTCAGATTGCATCATGTGCTCAGATTTTGAGATGGTGCATTTTCAAAAGATTTTGGTGCATTATATTTCGACATGATGCATTTTCAAACCATTTTGGTGCACCTAATTTTGATGCAATCCTGACCCTTATACTTCACAATTTAAAGCATCAGATTTATTCTCATTTCTCTCCTAAGGTCGCATTCTCCCCAGAACACACACACATAGTGTTATTTGTTCTATTACAAGGTAGCGTCTGTTCATACTAATATCAACTCAATAACACACAAAAAGTCAATACCTTCTCTGGGCTCTAGCCTGCGTGAAATTCTCCATTAATTCTGGGAATGAACTTTTTACCACTCAAGCCAAAGGGAGAAATTCGAGTTGTTCCTTTATATGATTCATATGGATTGCCTTACTCTCAAGACTAAAGACTTATTCTCTTCAACTTATTCTATTATTGTTCAATTTATTTTTATTAATTTAAATCAAATCAGATCATATTTGAAACAGTTTAAAATATATACACAATCAGATAAGATCAGACTTTAATAAAATCTTATCAGATTTTAATAAAATGTAACCAATTTTTTGTAATAAGTTTTTGAGGTTAAATATCTCTATGCGTTTAAAAATACAAACTTAATCTCATTTGTGTAATTTAAACTCTAAAAATTTAAGTTCGTAACTATATTTTTCATTCTAAAAAATTGAAAAATATAAAGTTGATTTTCTTTTACTCAATTTTAAATTGCGTAAAAGATTTTTAACAAGTTTATATTTATATTACAAAAAGACTTAAATCTTCCTTTAAAATTTATGATGAACATTTAATCAATCTCGTTCTCGTAAAATTCAAATTGTCTAATTTTATAGTTTTTATCATTAGAAATCACCCTAAATAAGACTAAAATATATTAAAAAAAGTCTCAAAATAGAGGTTCCATGTTTTTATTCCCGAAATAGGATTTCACAATATGGTAATGTGATTATAACGTGGCACAATACATGTGCACACTACTATACTTTTTGGTAATGTACATGACCATGTTTAGTAATGTAAATGCATTTTAACTCTTATTTCAGAAATAAAAAATGGAAGACCTATTTTGGTATATTTTAGATGTTTTACTCATACTTTAGTCTTTTTTCCTTTTTTCATATCTCAAATGCTGCATCCGCTTCTAAATGTTATCTTCATTTTTAAGAACATTTTCTTATTTTGATTATTATATCTTGTGGAAGTACACAATAATACTTCCTCCGTCCCAATTTAAATTGCTTGTTTCAGTTTACGATGTTTGACTAAGGGGCTGTTTGGCAACTTCTGAATGGGTAAGTGCTGAACCAGTAAGAGGTCTGAACCATTAAGTGCTGAACCAGTAAGAGGTCTGAACCATTAAGAGCTAGTATATTGCTTAACTATTCAGAGGCAAATGTCTAATTAATTCAGATAAGAGGTCTTAACCATTCAGACTCTGTATAATACTTAACCATTCAGAGGCAAATCTCTTAACCATTCAGACATCTGAACCATTAAGAGGCTGAAACAAACAGTCTGAACCATTAAGTGCTGAACCATTCAGACATCTGAATCATTAAAAGGCTGAAACAAACAGCCCCTAAAGTTATTTTCAAATCATTTTTTATGAAAATGATGTAGAATTCAAAAATAAAAATTACATACTTAAAAACTATATCCAAAGATTTACAAAACTAATGGTGTCATGATTATATTATTTTATTAAATAATTAACAAGAATAGATAAACAAAGACAATGATGTTTGACTATATAAATAGTAAACAAATAATTCAATTTGGGACAAATGGAGTAGTTAGATTGGGGAATAAACAATAAAGAGTAGTGTTGGTTGAATTTTCGAATTTTTTTGGTGTTTTTGTATTTAAATTTTCTTTTTTATTAAAAAAATGATGCAAAAGGTGAATTAGAAGTGAAATCTTATGCAGACGCTATTGGAATTTGGAAAGCCTTTGGATGAAGATTTTAGAGTAAATTCTATAATTGGTCCTTTATAACAGGGGTTTCCCTATTTAGTCCTATATTATCAAATATTATCCCTGTAGTCACCCATATCCACAAATAGTCCTTTTTTTTATCTTCTATCATGTTGATGTTAATTTGAGGGCTAAAAATGTAATTTCACAATGATAATATATTTTTTTTGTCATACACAATTCCAAAGGCTGTTCCGTTTGCGTCGTTTGTGAATTACAGTCACTTTTTACGACAACGATAGTCTACAAATGTGATCTTTCGTCAGAATCCTAGCCCACAATCATAGTCATTATTTTTGTGTTATTCGCTTAACCAATATCAGAACACGTCACTAGACATAGTGTTGATGTCAAATTATACTTTTAGCCTTTAAATTAACACCAACACGGCAGAAGATGAAAAAAAAGACTATTTGTGGAAAGGTACCCTTAAAAAAAGGACTACGGGGGTAATATGTGATAATAAAGGACTAAATATGGAAACCCCCATGTTATAAAGGACCAATTATGGAATTTACTCAAGATTTTAAATTGAAATTCATTTCGACAGTTGAGGTAAATGGTATTCATATGGCAAATGATATGGATGATGTGTTAGATCAAACTGATCGTTGGGATGGTGCACTTATCTGCTGTGTACTAGGAGCAAATCCTCCACTGGAAGTGTTAAAAGGTTTCTTAAATAGAATTTGGGGAACATTAGAAATTGAGGAGATCTAATTTCTGAAGGAATCTCAATACGTAGTGTTGTTTAAAAGAGTAGAAGACATGGATGATAAAGCTAGTGAAGAGGAGGTTCTACTTCTTTGATAATAAACCAGTTTTTGTCCAAAAATGGAAGCCGAGGTATAAAATTAATCTGGATACACTCCAAGACATCCCTATCTGGGTGAAATTCCCTGATCTAGATCTGAAGTACTGGAGTTTGGTTGATTTAAGCAAATTGGGGAGTGCCATTGGTAAACCAATTAGAAGGGACAAGACTACTGCCACTAGATCCAAGCTAGGCTTTGCGAGAATATTACTGGAAGTAGGTATGAAGCAAAACTTCCCGGAGAAGATACAATTCCTGGAAGAGACTGGCAGGATTATCTATTAGCAGGTTGAATATGAATGGTGTCCCATCATATGTACAAACTGTAATAAACTGGGGCATCATCAGGAGGTATGTAGATGGAAGCAAAGGAATCCTGATAATCACAAGCAAAACCCACCATGGAAGCAGGAGAATGAGGGGGGGGGGGGAGATGAGGAAACAAGAGGATAAGGTGTGGAAAATGAAAGAGAAGAGTGTTCAGGCTCAGGAAGATGTACTGGAAAAAGAGCAAACCAAAGATGAGGACAATGATGGTTTCACCGAAGTCAGTAAAAGGAAAGCAGCTAGAAGGATTGATTTCGAAAAAGAAGACGAGGGAACAAGCTATGAAATACATAAGAGCTTGGTAGAAGCCCCATATATAGGGTAGTATCCTTTCTTTACATGATAGGATGCTGGAATATTAGAGGGCTAAATAGCCTTAATAAACAGTTTGAAGTAAGGAACTTTGTATCCAGGAATAATATTAGCTTAATGGGAATTCCTGAAACAAAAATAAAAGAAGATAAACTTGAAAGGATTATGGAGGAAATGTTTGGAGGCTGGAACTTCATTACAAATAATAAGGAACATCCTTTGGGTAGAATATGGGTGGTTTAGAACCCTAATAGATATAATGTGGCAGCCATCAAAGTGACTGATCAGATTATTCATTGCTGGGAGAGGAGGATTGGTAGAAATGAACACTTTTACATCTCATTTATATATGGTCATAATGAAAGCAACAAAATGAATAGGATCTGGGAGGATCTGAGAAGTTTTGCTGTATCTATACATGATCCATGGTGTGTAATTGGGGATTTTAATTAATAATGCCCTTAATTTAGAAGTTAGAATTGGGGGGAAAAAGTGTTACCGTTGAAGAAGTCCAAGATTTCAGAAAATTGCTTAACTGATTGTAGGTTGGAAGATCTACCAATGGAGGGTGAGTTCTATACTTGGTCAAACAGACAAGGGAAGAGTAGAAGAATTTACTCAAAAATTTACAGGGATGTTAGTAATATGGAATGGATGATTAAGATGGGCACTAAATGCAGCTTCAAAGATGAAGGAGTATCTGATCACACCCCTATGATTATAAAATATGAGACTGAAAAGTGTTACAAGAGCTTTAGGTTCTGTAATATGTGGATGCTGGACCCACAGTTTAAAGAGATATTAAAGAAATTATGGGAGCAGGAGGGTGAAGGAAAAGCCATGTATCAAGTGGTACAAAAGCTTAAAGCTCTTAAAAAATCCTTGAAGAAACTAAATAGAGACAAATTTGCTGATATTCACAATCAATGTGATGTTCTAAGATATGAGATCCTGGAAATTCAGAGGCAAATAAGAGCGCAGATTGAGGATGAGGAACTCATTATGAAGGAGAAAAGGGTAATACAAGAGCTGCACACCAAGATAAGATCGAGCTTCTAGTATGCTAAAGAAACAAATAGCAAAACAGAAATGTATTGCAGAAGGGGACCAGAATTCAAAGATATTTTATGCCTGCAAAACCAAATTAATTCTATCATGGATCCCCAAGGGAATAAGGTTGAAGGCACAAAACAAGTGGGAGAAGTTTTCTTGGAGTATTTCATTAAGTTATTGGGAAGTGATTTACAAACAAATGATATTAAAGCAGAGATCATGGAACTGGGCAGCAAGCTATCGGTAGAGAAACAGTTGGGGCTGATTGAACCTAACACACCTCTACAGATTAAAGAGGCTTTGTTCAGTATTCCAAGTAGTAAGAATCCTGGCCCTGATGGGTATACAGTGGCATGTGGTAAGAGATTTGGTTACAAAAGATGTTGCTGATTTTTTCAAGTCAGGTAAGACCTTACAATAAATAAATGCTATAAACATTGTTGTTATCCCTAAAGTGAGTTCCCCTATATCTCCCTCAGATTATAGGCATATAGCTTGTTGCAATGTAGTATACAAAATCATCTCAAAAATTTTATGTGAAAGACTAAAAAAAGGTGATCCCAGATATTGTGCATCTAAACCAAACAGCTTTTGTCAAGGTTAGAGAATTGGTGCATAATGTGCTCTTATGTCATGAACTAGCTAGGGGGTATAATAGAAAGAAAATCTTGCCCAGATGCATGATAAAATTATATTTGAAGAAAGCTTATGATTCTGTTTGTTAGAAGGCTATTGTCCAGATTATGCAACTACTTAATTTTTCCCAGTCCGTTTGTCCAATGGATTGAATTTTGTATAAGTACTCCTGCATATTCTATTGCTATAAATGGAGAGAGTCATGATTTTTTTCAAAGGAAGAAAGGGATTAAGAAAAAGAGACCGTACCCTATGCCCCCTCTGTTGTTTATGCTAATTATGGAGTACCTAACGGAAGTGTCCTGCCTTCCCACAACCCAAGCATAGCCCTTGCGTGAACCTGCATCTTCATGGATGGTTTTTTCCGTAAAGGTTGCATACTGGATGTCTCGAGGGTTTGGATTTGGCGAGGTGGCGGCGGCGGTTAGATAGTCGCAAAAAGTTTGCCATGAAGGGTAGGGTTGGTTCCCGATGTTCAGCTGTCCAGCGTTTTGATTCAGAACAAAGCTAGAAGATTCAGTATTGGCGTCGATGTGCTCGTCATCGACGTGTTGCGTGTTATCATTTCCGTGGGTAGATGCTGGACTCATTCTATAAACAAATTTTCCTAGTTTGTCATGCACACATAACATGCAAAGTTATACACTTATTAACCTCCCAGGGCAGAGGAGTCTCAAGAGATGTGGTGCAGCATTTTAGAAACCAATTACTCATGATTCCTAGATCGATTTTAAAATCATTCGCTCCGTCTTGCAATTTTTGTCCGATTTAATTTTTTTCAATTCAAACAAAATTAACTTTGAGCTTCTATTACTCTTAAATTGTATTGCATATTAGTAGAGTAAAATAAAAATTTGAATGGTCTCTACAAGATCAATATAATAATATTCCGTATCATTTTTATGGGAGAACTCCCGAGATAAGAGTAAAAAACAATAAAAGTGCCAAGATGAGAGTCATAAGTCTTTTAAAACCAAAATAAGAGTTCACACAACCATTATTACACTGTCACACTTACCACATTGTTACATTGTAACTGCCACGTTATCACCACTTTACTGCCATCGGTCGCTGCCGCCACCAGAGTGTCATCACGGGTCAGTGACGAGTGACCGATCACATTGTTATATTACGCTGTTATCACTTTTCCATCACACTGCCAACGCGTACTCTTATACCACACACCCATTATACTTTTAGTTTGGTCTTAACAGACTTATGAACTCCTATTTTAATATTTTCATACTTTTTAACTCTCATCTAGGGAGATTTCTCTATTTTTGTACTAATATACATTACAGTTTTTGTTTGATTCGAATTTAAAGTCCAAAATGTCAACTGAGACGGAGGAAATAATTCACAAGG